ACCTTACACGAAATAGGGTGAATACATCTAATTACACTGATTTACTGGTAGTCTCGAAACCCTACTTTCACACACTATCTTGGTCTTCATTACTACAAAAGTGTCCAGACCTGAAGGAGAATTACTTGATGGCTTCTGTATGTGTATCTTGTGTTTTATAGAAGAGGAATAACAGTATGAGTGAGATTCACTAAAACCCTAATGGGCATCTGCCAAAGTATTCTTGGGCTGTAGACCCATTTGCATATTTTATTCACAGGCCCTGAATAAGCTTATACTAATTTTAGCACAAATTGATTACTGCTCTAGTTACTAGACTGGTAACATGTTCTTTTCGCTTTTTTAACTTAAGTATATGGTAGCCAAAGTATTTCAAAAATATTTCATTATGCACATTGCACTCGCTTGCCTTTTTTATATATCTCAAGTGTCATACCCCCTTAATGTTCTGGCGGCTTTGCCCAATTTGAACTATTGTTGAAAGTATGAAGACCAAGATGGTGTAGACTTTTGTGTGGTTGCAGTCTTCCTTCATTGTATACAGGTTGTTTGAACTTGTTTGGGCAACTTGGTCATATTGGTAGGAAGACTTAGAGGAACGCACCAGGTCCAGGGTCCGACTTTGGAGAGTATTATGCATATAATGGACTCCGGACTAGGTGCTTTCCTCTAAGTCTTCCTACCAATATGACCAAGTTGCGAAAACAAGGTCAAACAACCTTGGAACTATTGTTGTTTACAATTAATGATCTTCCATATATATTTATATGTATAAAGTAGCTGGATAACTATTGTTTCATTTTATCATTTGGATTTAGTGTTGATAATAACAACTAATCTATATCCTTTCCAGCATGTATGAGCAATATTATTTGTTTATTGTTGATATATTCAGCCTACAAAAGAGTTTAGTATATATTTCTAGCTGCAATTTTACCTCAATCATATCTGATAATTCCTTGGAAATTTCCTCAAGACTCGGTTCTTCGTGGAAGACAGCTCTGTAACTTCCCTTGAATTCATTCCAGGTAAGATATCCAGTACCTGCCACCGAAATTGTCATGAAGCTATTGTGTGCCAGCCGACGCACACGAGATCGATCTCTAAGACTAACGGCTAGCCGACAAGCCATCTCGTCACCTTCAACGTCTTCTATGCTACCTAGTGGGTCTATCAGATGTCTGCATGGGCCCGAGTGACGCATCCTCAAGGGGCCAGTCGATTGAACTGCTGGGTCAACTGAGATCCATTTATCTGACGAAGTGCTCTCCTCAGCAATTTTGCTGTCTCGGGTGGGCTGCGATACGAATTGTGGCATAGAGCTGTCCACAGCCCAACCGCATGACATAGAAGCTGTTGGTACGTAAGAGGAAGTCGTATGAAGCTCATAGCTCCCTCCAGAAGCTTGCTGGCTAGAGCCCAGAATAACGACTGAAGCAGGACTGCAGGATACGGTTGGTACCAACGATGTTGACGAGGGTGAGTTGTATAACTCCAGTACAAAGAGACTATTGAGTAAACTGAGTAATCGAGTGAGCAACGTACAGGGCTAGAAATTGAAAAAAACAAAATACTTTATGGTCTTTTATGAACTATATTTTTCGCATTTTAAGTATTGTTTCGAGACTACTATCAAATCAGTAATATGAGATGTAGTCACCCAATTTCGTTTAAGGTGATGAAGGACTGATAAAAGAATATGATATGGGAAAAGAATTGATCTTCCTTGAAATTCACATTTGCCTTGTGACCCAAAGGCACTCGCGGCAATGTGGTCGAGTGGTTAGCGTGTCAAGCTCTCATCCTGCATTGTCGCGGTTCGAATCCCGCTGAGGGTGTTGATAAGACCGATGCGAGGTCGAAACTGCAATCCGCTTCTACCTGGATGAGAACAACTTTTGGGAAAGCGAGGCTATGTGAAATTCAATGGACACGTCAGTTCTACTCATATCATTGTAGGAAAATTCTTCTACTAGTTCTTCATCACCTTAAACGAAATTGGGTGAATACATCTCATTTTATGAACTAAACATAAAAGTAGGTATTCATATTGTAAAGCATACTTCAGATTTGCTTTGTAGGCAAAATGATGAATAAGCTTGCTTCAGCGCCCCAAAAAAGCAATTCACAAGAAAAATTAAGGCTTACATAGCAAATTTATGCTTTTCGTTCGTCTAATTTTCAGCTTATAGCAAGCTATATGCCTTGAAGGTATAAGCATCAAAATGGTAGATAATTGTTTATTTTAAGAGCACTATAGGTCTCCTATTACTGAATAGCATAAGTACAAAGTAGGCTAACGGTCGAGTCCAAGTTCTCTAGATTAATGTTGGAAAATGTTTAGCTTGGCAAACTATTCAACCCTGTGTTACAGCAGAAGCTTTTTATTGTCAGAATGCTTTGCTTTAATTGGTAGCATGAATGAAGAACTATATTTTATAGTCAAGTTGTTTGACCTTGGCTTCGCAACTTGGTCATATTAGCAAGGAGACCTGGTGGAACACATCTTGTCCGGAGTCGATAGTATGCATGCTCATTTCCAGAGTCGTACCGGGGACATGGTACGTTCCCAGACGTTTTGCCGGCATCGTCAGTGAGTCTTGCCACTTTTAGCACCATACCACAATTCGTCAAGGAGTCAAGTGAAGTCAATCCCTTGATCAACTTTCTGTCCAGACGCTTATGCCATCAATCCTCGTCTTGTCCTGGTTCGTCTGTCCATTTTCTACCCTCCAGTCTCGACCTCGTCCTATCACAACTTCTGACATGTTTATATTCCACGTAAGATGTGTCCTTTCGGCGAACTCACCGTTGCGTCATCACACCTGCTTTTTTCCTTGCTCCCCTCCCTTTCAAGTGGTTGATCCTGCTCTAGTCTTCTGTCCGGATCTGCCTCACGGGCCAGTAGATCCGTTTCTTATCTTTCTGGCTGACCGATTCACTCTGATTCCCATGATTGCGGATATTAGGCATTATCTTCACACATCATCTCCTCGATTAAGCCCGTGTATACTGAGCAAACTGTGAACATCTATCTTTGGTCGCCTGCTGCATCTCAAGTGGAATATTAGTCAATATGATCATAATGCCCAATTTCTGTGACCTAATCCCTCTCCGTTGTCATGTGAAACGTCGGGCCCCCAAGGTGTAGTTGTCTATTCGAGCCGACAACGTCTTCGCTTCATTTATTACTGACTCTGCCTTCTTCCAATCTCCTGTTAATTACATTTTTCCTCTAAATATGTCAATGGTCTATCTAATATTCCGTTTCTTTGTGCTTTTACTGTGTGAGGCCCTTATTTTTGTTGCGCTCTGAAGAAAAGGCGATTTTGTACGTGGTACTGAAGGCTTGAGAAATAGCACTTGGAATAAAAGTACGCTGGGCTGAAGCCGAGTGAAATCGGTCAGCCAGAAAGACAGGAAACGGCCATATGAGTCCATGAGGCATATTCGGACAGGAGACTAGAGCAGAATCATCCACTCGAAAGGGAGCGGAGCAAAGAAAAGAGCAGGTGTGATGACGCAACGGTGAATTCGCCAAAAGGGTAAATCTCTTGTGGAATATAACATTTCAGAAGTTGTGATAGGACAAGGGCGAGACTGGAGGGTAGTAAATTGACAGAGGGTCCATGAAAAAACGATGAGTGATAGCACAATCGTTTCAACAGAAAGTTGGTCAAAGGATCGACTTCACTTGTCCCTTTGATAAGTTGTGGTATGGTGCTAAAAGTGGCAAGACTCACTGACGATGCCGGCGAAACGTCTGGGAATGTACCAAGTCCACAGTACGACTCTGGAAATGAGCATGCATACTATCGACTCCGGACAAGGTGTGTTCCTCTATGTCTCCTTGTTAATATGACTAAATTGCTAGGCCAAGGTCAAACAAGCTCTCTACAACGAAAGGAGACGGCGACCATACAAAAGGCTGCACCATTCTGGTTTTCATACCTTCGACTAAGCTATATTTTGTAGCCTTGAACTATATCCTAAAATTAAAGTTTATTGCCTTAATCAAACTTTAGGTGATTAATAAATCAAATGCCATAAAGTAATATTACAATAGAGAGATCAAGGCATAACTATTAATTGTAAAATGCAAGCTTGTCGGAATGCAGGCTAGAAAAAGGTGTAGAGTATTAGTAAAGTTTGGTGAGTAGAACCATTTGAGTAATATGCTAGATTCATTCTTAGCTAAATTTAAATTTTTTACATGAAAAACAATAATGAAATTTATTTATTTTAAGGAGTAACGCTTTTACTTTAGCATGAAAATCATATTAAAATATGCTTTTTCTAGATAACGAAGGTAGCTATTTATCTGGCCACAATAAGAATGCTGGCCACTGTAATCAAGTTTAGTGAACCAAATCTAAACTCTCTGGCCTTACATAATATGATTAAGAATAAGTTTAATTTTTCTGATCAGTTCTGCTTAGCTATGCTTCCTGGGCTACTTTCCCGCAGATGAGGGACCACAGTTTTAACTGGGCTTGGGATGCAGTAGCAGCCACAATCGCGTACCTTGATTCTCGTTGCATAAATTTAGCAAACGATCAAGTATCCATAGTGCTCATAAATCATGGGAAACTAGTCACTCTGAAGCAATGTATGCTCTTTTCATTTCCCATTTATAGTGGCGTTGAGTGGTAAAAAGAACTATAGTATTCTCTATTAATCTTTAAAATATTACTGGTTAATAACTTTGTTGCATTTTTCTAATAGGCAACCCTTTATTTAAACTATATGTTAAGCCGTTCAACCTATGATCCAACCTAAATTTTGAGCATAGATGTGAAGAGCAAGCTGGTTTGCCAAGGTTTCTTTTCTATGCATAGACTTGATTTGAATTCGTTTTCTTAAATTAGTTAAGTTATCATGGAGGCTTCCAAGAGCATAAACTGTATTGATACATATGCCATTTTTACCATGTCTTGCTGGGCACATTTGCAAATATCTCTCAAACAGAATAGCTGTAATTGCACTGGATCAGGCCAGACTTAGCACCAAGTTAAAGCTATAGGAGACGCGATCACACTATTTCGTGTAATGTGATGAAGGATTGATAGTTGAATTTTCCCACAATCATGTGAGTAAACCTAACGCATATCTCATATCTTTGCTTTCCCAAAATGTATTCTCATATATGGTGGACTGCAGTTTCAACCTCGCCTAGGTCTCATCAGAACCCCCATTGGACTCGAACCGTTACAGTGAGGCGTATATTCTCGCCACAGCATCCACTACGCCACATTGCCAAGAGTGTCTTGGGTGACAGGGCAAATGTGAATTTCAAGGAAGGCCAGGAATTATCCCATATCTCATTCTGTGGTGAGATTTTCGATGAAGCAAAGTTATGTTTATAAGTTGTTTGACCTTTTTTTCGCAACTCGGTCATATTGGTAGGAAGACTTAGAGGAACGCACCTAGTCCGGAGTCCATTGCATGCATCACCATTTACAGAGTTGGACTGTGGTCGTGGTACATTCCCAGACTTTTCGCCGGCATCGTAGTCGGTATCATCAGTGAGTCTCGCCATTCTTAGCACCATTCAACAACTCGTCAAAGATACAAGTGAAGCCGATCCTTTGACCAAATGTGTGCTAAACAGTTGTGGTATCTAACGAAAGGAGACTGCGAACACACAAAAGGCCACACCATCTTGGTCTTCAAACTTTCGATCAAAGTTATGTTTGTTATATCAATCGACTACTTTATTTATTTTTCGTTTGTAAGTCGGCTTTCAAGATTACCAGTAAATCCTCATCTGCCCTGTGATCCAAGGGCATTCGTGACAATGTGGCGTAGTGGTTAATGTGTCAAGAATATACACGTCATTGTAATGGTTAGAGTCCATTGTGGGTGCTGATAATTCTTAAAATAGGTCGAAATTGCTCTCCAACCTGGATGTAAATACCATTTTGAAGCAAATCTATGTGAAATTACACGGAAACGAAAGGTCTATTTATATTATTGTGGAAAAACTCAACTGCCTTAAACAAAGTAGGGTGAATGCATCTCATTTATTTGTTTTGCTGATAGTCTCGAAAGTTTACCTGCAAACGAAAAATAAGCCTTAGTAACAAACAGACATCATTCTTCAATAATTTTCTTTTGCACTATTGTGGAGGCTCCTCACCCTCTGTTCTGTTAAATTTACTACCTTAACTTTTTAGGTAAATCTTGGTCATTTTTGTTTTGATTAGTTGTAGCTTGCTGCCTTAGCTGGTGCTGTTCATTCAAGATGCTCAATACGAAGTAGGGGAAACTTGTAGGAATGTACTCAATAAAATTCCTGATGCTGGGAGAAACCTAGAATGTATTACGTTCTATAAAGTGGTTATGATAACGCGAGTAGGTTTTGACTACGAGATACATCGAAAATCTAAAGTTCGAGAGATTCAATTAGATTCAAATTTTATCCGCCTGCCGTTTCTTATTTCTAATTTCACCCCAACTAGTTAAGCTCTCAGAGGCCATTCATGGTTCACCTTACAACTGTCAGATAAATAAGGCCCACTGAATGGTCTTTCATTTTCTCTCCCCCACCCTATGATAAGAAGGATTGCTTTGCAAGGAGCCAGTTTCTACCATTAATTCTGAAAAATATTTTTTCATTGTTTTATCGGTACTAGGCCAGTCCTGCATGCCAACTATTTGTGATATTCAGATATTCAGACGTTATATTTCCCGAGATCCTGACCATTACTCCTCCAAAGTAGCTCGTTGTTTGCGAATTCGTCGACGCCTCCGAGCCACTGGACTGTTGGAGGGATTGCATGGTGGTTGTATCAGGCCAATCCAGGTTGCCCAGTGTCATGCCACGATTACCGGAGCAGATGTTTCCGGTGGCTCTTACTCCAGCAGGCGGGTATATTTCAGCCAGGTCAACGTCCAACCAGACTGGCATTTCATGACCAAGCTTCTTCTGAAAGATTTCTGGCAGGCTAGGCAGTGGCATGTGTAGAGGCACGGAAGGACCAGATTCAAAAAGAGCAAGTATGTCATCAGCTAATCGACGGAGACGATGACTCGGAGTCAGTCGAATGTGACGCTCACCTTTTAGATCCCTCAGCTATGCATAGAAAAGTGACAGACCCAAAAGAAAATCGTGAAAGTTTTAAGATTATAATTGGGTTGTAATGTATTCTAAAAGAATTATTTGAAAAGATCATTTACATTATGCTTAAATAAAGACACTTATACATTATTCGCATTCTCGGCTTACTGTCCTCTGAGCTTATTGCAGTTGTTTATTTAATAAATGCCATGGATTTCGATTATTTGGGACATATCGTGGCCAGAAAACTTTGGCCAAATTGAGCAGCTGCCCCACTTATCCAACGTTTCATATAAAAGAGGGAAAAGGTATTTAACAAAAGACAATTTACCGTTTACTGATCAACAAATCATGTATTCTAGTTCACTAAAGAACAAATCTTTTAATACGATAGATTCTGATTGTTTGGGCCATTGGTTATTCGAAGCAGCCATTTGTTTAGTACGAATCTTATAGAATAAGAACAAATAAAAAAATGACTAGAAGTTTTTTAGCCTAATTGTTTCTCAGCGAACGTTAGGTATATATTCACCCTATCTCGTTCGTGGTGAGGATAGACAGGTAATTGAATTTTTCCACAAGGCCTCACTTTTTCAGTGAATTTCACATAGCCTTGCATCCCAAAAGATATGTTATTCAAGGTTGGACTGCAGTTTCGAACTCGCCTTGGCCTCATCAGCACCCGCATCGGGACTCGAACCCGGGTATTGCAGTGTATGGAAGACGCTAAGCTGTCTTTTATTTTATATTTTCTTGACTCTACATGAAACTTGGCATAATTGAACCAAAATTTTCTATCCCCGATGTGTCTCAAGTAACTGGACTCAACTATTTTTTTTTATTTCAATAATTTATGTGTGTATTGAATATGTGTGTAATTCTTAATAGTTTACAATTTTGAGGATTTGGTTTTATTATATAAAATTTTTCCCCTATTTACTTCTGACTCAATTAACTGTAATCCACTATATATCAGCTAGAAACTAAGCTCAGAGATAAATTACTTTTATATGCACAACTAGGCTGAGTTACTGTGGTTTAAGTAGGGAGGCCATAGTGACAAAGACTGGTAAAGGATAATATTATCCTTAAAGGAGGCCAGACGATTGCAGAACAAGGAGAACTCACAAATCAAAAATTCCTCCTCCTAATCTTGTTATATAATTCTTTTTGATGCTCCTCCTAATGAATGTCTCCTCGAGGCATCTATCCCTAAAGAGAGTATGGTTATTAAAGCTGTGCTCTGCTGTTAAGACATACAGCAACGATACTGGTGGGACTATAGTTCTACACAAAAGCGAAACCTAAAAGTATATCTGCCTCTTCTACAACCTCGCTTTTTAGTGGAATCGCTATCCCTCAGGTTAATAAAATGTATCCTCCTCGTTTATTTGAAGGTATTCATGCATTCAGCCATCTAATCTGGTGTTATCTAGAGCAGAAAATTAAGAAAGAATTATTTTATAACCTCCGATTTATTACTTATACTCATATTCATTAACATCATTAGACCTGTTCAAATCTCTGCGAGCAAATTATGCTATCAGCCCTTCCTCATTTAAAGCGACTTATGCTAAATACATTTCTTTTTCGATACTTTCCTTTAAGCAAAAAGTAAATTTGAGTAAGTAGAGCCTCTTACCATCAAGGCCCCAACTCCTCTTGTTGCATTTATCTCAGCCCCAGGCTCTTCATAAAATTCATTTATTTGAGACCCAATGAATAATGCAAAATACCATAAACCGTTTAATATTTTGGATGTACGGTCTGATTACGAAATTAAACTGCCTGAAATAGCACTTACGAGCTTTATACTCGCTCATGATGGGTCTTCTTAAGGCTATTAAGGATCTGGTAATAGTAATATAATTTTCGTTCATTTGTAAATTATTCTGAATCGTAAAATTTTCTTATAGGCTTTTGTATAGTCTATCTTCAATATTTTAATAGAAGGGAAAGAGGGATAGACTTGGGTCATTAGTAAGAAATAAAATTCGGTTGAGCATACAGTAGCATAGGTATGAAGACCAAGATGGTGTGGCCTTTTGTGTGGTCGCAGTCTCCTTTCGTTGTATAGAGGTTG